GGGCGGAATGACTCCATTTATTTCTGGCACAGGGAACCGCAGTAGATGTGGAGATTAAGAAAAGAAGGTTGGCTCTGTTAGACAAACTGCATGAGCACAGGCCGTTTGCTACGGCGCACGAACTTCTCTTGTTGAGGCAGAAATACGGCGGACGCCGACCAGAATGCCAGCATGCAATATGGAGGAACTACGCAGAGGCACATGATTCTGCGAGGGATATTTCCTTCTACGAGGCAGTAACCGATGCCGATGATTGATGGCATACTGTATGAGAAGTCGCGAATACGGCGGACATCACAAACCCGACACGTTCTGATTAGGCAAACTGCACAAGGTGATGATCTCGACAAACACACAATGACACAACCCATCGGTCGAAGAATGAAATACTTCGTTAAACTTTCTTGTCGTGGCATCCACATAACTTTGAAGTGTTACCTAATGGCACAAAACCAGTGCGGCGAATTCGGGAGCTTTTCTCCTTGCCCAGTTTCCGAAATTTGAAATGACAGAAATTCTTTTCCAACGATATTATCACAAGTTCTGATAGAAAGTATTAACCGAAACATCATTCTGTACATGGAAGGTAGACGAGTTAAATGCATCGTGGTCCTTCAAAGATAAATAAGGGCGGTAATTACACCCTCCACTCAATAACCCTTTGTTTAGAAGTTTAAAACGAACATGCAAAATCCTAAGTGAATGAAAGAATTAAATTATGTATTTTAATGCTTTTACATTCATACTAGCCGTAGATTGCCACTAACGTGTCACAAAAAACGTTCCCTTGTACTGTTTTTTTAGATGTATTGTAAGACCATATTGTTTCTTCATAATGTAGCCTAATCTGCATTTTTAGCTTTCCCTGATGCCAGACGAAGAGAAAAAGGCAGAATTTAAGACGGCCGTTGTTCCGGGCACCAGCGAACCGCTGTTCAACCAGAATTTTACGTTGTAACATCGAGTTTAAAGGACGAAATAAGGTTCTTATATCTTCTTTTAGTGAAGTACTGCCTGAAGATTATCACAAGCGATTGATCATATCCGTTTGGCACCGAGATCCTGTGTCTCGGTAAGCATCTTCAACTCATATACACTGTATATCTTAGCAAACCCACGCGCAAGCATCGTATGACGAAAAGATAACACTGCGAGCTTAATCGACATGATATTATGATTTAATTCAAATATTTCTGTCGAATTCTGTCTGAGACATGACAGTTTCATTCTCTGTTTATGCACAGTCAGACATCAGGCAGCATGTTGATTTACTCTACTGTTGTGGCGTGGTGGCATAATGCCAGAGAGATCAGTTTCGAACTCCGGGAGTGCCAGGTTCTATTCCGCAGTGTCTTTATCATGATTTCCCTTAAGAAAGAAATCTACCAAACGGTAATGCGTCAGATGTACAGCTGAGCGGTCTCGGGTTCGATGCCCGGTCGGATCACTCACCGTTCTTCCTTCTGAAGTTCATAAATGAGTACAGTCGATGTGAAAGAAACAGGATACTACACACTATGCTTGCCACGTGTCCGTCAACTCTGATTTTTAAAATGGCATTCCTGACTGATAGCATGGAGACTGGGGACCCACCATTAACCAAATTAAAAGAATGGCGTCCGTAATCACTTCGTTATGAGGGAACAATAAAGACCAAAATTTCAACGGTTACAAATTGTCCTTCTTTCTTGTTCTTGCCGACTATTCCTCACTCCCACAGACGCGACCGGTGGACCCAATTTCATCTGGATTTCTATTAAAAGCAAGAAATCTGCAATAACTTACTCAATACCTTCTGTGATTTCTTGAAAGGCCTTCAAAGCGTCTGTAGGTAATAAATGAGGAAAATATGATTCGTATGTTTCCCTTGACATGCGATTCTATACTTTTGCGGCTGCCATCTTTCCTCCACGTAAGCTCGTAATGAGCTTGCACTCGAGGAACACTCACCTCGATTCAAATTTAAGTACTGTAGAAACATTGATCGAACAATACCTTCACTAGAATTTCATGCTTTTCACTTCAATCCAATCCAAGTGTCATATGTTTATTCAGGAAAAGGCACGAGGCAGCAAACTTGCATTTTTCAGTGTGATAAACTGATAAACGGCTGTCAGTGCTTTCTTCTGGTTTTAAATTTTAAACTTTTAATAGTTTACTACTAAAACCACGCGATGTCGTTTAGCCTAGCAAGTCTTTGACGAGTACATGCAAGGGGGAAAAGGACGAAGTTACGTTAATGCCAGGTTAAGTAACACTTATGCTGCTGTCAGTTCGTCACCGTCCACGAATGTCATCACCTGAGTGACGAACAAAGAGAGGTAGATCTCGGTTTGACCGAATCGTCTGCAAATCATAGTCGCTTAATGCGATCTACCTTCAAGGGGTCTGTCGTTTCCTGGATGCAACTACTGGTCAGTCAGCGGTTTCAGCGGTACACGGCGCACTTTGACGCCTACGTTGCCGGACAGAGAGAATACATTCCACC